ACTAACTCCCCTTGTGTGTATGTACAGCTCTCAACATGCCCAGACTTGGAGTGATTTTCACCTCTTTTAATACTTTCCGCCTCATTCTGAAAGAAAGAAGTGAAATGTGCCAACGTGACGGCCGTCTGGGTGTGTGGTGCGAGACGGGAGATGGAGTTCATTGAGCGGTTTCACAAAAAAAAAGTGTTACTTCACAGTTTTACGACACATTTTAATTTTTTTGACTTGCAAAATTATCTTTTAAATTGACAAACATCATATGTGTAATTCGTGGCACAATTCAAACGGGATCGAGAGATAATCTTTCTCTCGCCATTGACTTCAATGCATACTTTTTCCTAAATAAGGTCCCATGGAGCTCCCCCGGAAAGGGAGGGACTTCGCCTCTCCTTGTTGCTAATCAACCAATGCTGCAGGACTTTCAATTCCCCTCTGGTTGCACTCATACCGACATGACGTCCTTTTACATTGTAAATATTTGCCTATTTTTTTTTGTCACATTCTGATATTAACCGCTATCGTCTGCCCCCTCTCAGGAGCTGTACCCGGCCTTCTGCATCCACCACGGAGGGAACGATCTGGAGCGTCTTCCCACCGCCAGCACGTGCATGAATCTGCTGAAACTTCCCGAGTTCTGCGACGAGAACCTGATGAGGAACAAGCTGCTGTACGCCATCGAGTCCTCCGCCGGGTTCGAGCTGAGCTGAGCTGAGCGCAGAAACTAGACTTCAGACGGAGTAAAGAGAGAGAGTAGGGGAAGCAAAAATGATGCACTGACCTGCCTGATTTACTGTGTGTGTGTGAGAGTGTGTGTGTGCGTGCCAAGACCAGGACGTGATCACCTGCACACGGAAGAACAACAAGAAGACTTTTTTTTTATCCTTTTAAAGTAATTTAAATGTTTAATCACGCGCGTGAATTTAAAACAAGAGAAGCCGCCCGCCGCTCTCTTGCGTGATCCAACGTCAACTGGAAGTTATTTTCACCAAAGATGAAGTGGCGTCATATATATATAAAAAAACAACAAAAATAGGCAATATAGCGACAGAGGGAGCTTCTGTGTATCGAGGCCAGATTCTGCGATTTATCCACGATGTAATATTGCGATAAAGGAACCGCACGGCGCCGTCTTTGGAGTGGGAGTGGCTCGTTCTGCTGGACTAAATTTGGGGGGGGGGGGAAATGATTCTATGATTATGGATTTGTGAATATGTATATGTTTACTCTTGTATTATTCATTTATTCAGTATTTGTACAGTTTTTCTTTTGAGTGGACGCCTCGGCGGTGAGGAGGAACATCCGTGGGGTAAGACGAACGACAGGGTGCAAAGAAAAAGAGTGTATGGAAACGAATAAATCCACTTTTCTTTTTTGCATTTAAGTCTCTTTTTCGTGTGATTTACAGCAATGAGAAGACACGTAGAACAAGTGCATTGTGGGGGAAATCTGCTCCCTGGAGTTTTATGGCCTCTGACATCCAGTTAGGGAACACTGAGCAGGTCCTGCTGATGCATTGTGGGCCAGGTCCTGCTGATGCATTATGGGCCAGGTCCTGCTGATGCATTATGGGCCCTCGTAAATCCACCTGCCCTCTGAGGGACAAATCCAGCGCTCTCTGGACCCAGGCCATGTTTGCATCTTCCTCCTCCCTCTCCTCTTCCTCATCTCCTCCTCCTCATCTCCTCCTCCTCTCCCCCCACCCCCCCCCCCCCCCCCCCCCCCCCCCCCCCTCTCTCCCAGGGAGCTCAAAGTGATAATTGGGTCTTAAAAAGCGGACTTGTCATTGAAATGAGGGATTCATCTCAATTACTGTGAGATTTATTAAATAATATTACGGCGTGATGGATTGTAAGTGACAAAGTTAATGCGTGGCGTTATGAATCATCCTCAGTGCGCCTAGTAATACTTTGAAGCTTTATGCTCGGCGGTTTTTAAGAGCTAATCGAAGCTTTTAGGCTTGTTTATCTTTGCTGCAGGCGAAGGAAACAGCAAATGGATTAGAAAGGATTCTAGGGATTATTCCAAAAGTGCTATCATGTGCGAATCTGACATCAAACCAGTGCCTGACATAAAAGCAGGTGGATCATACCTGGGTCTGATCATGAGACAGGATGACATTCAGAGCTGCAGCAAGATGTCTTTCAGGTTAGTTATAACACACTGCCCTCTTGTGGCCACAGAGCAGTACTGCATGATGAACATTTTTGCATTTTATAGGTGTGTAATTTTGCATTTGCGAGACACTTTAAGCAAAATTGGACACTTTATTATTTTCTTAATAATTGATAAACTTCAGCTCATCACTGGTGACACCTGGACACTTTTAAAATATATATTATTATGAAAAAAGTACAATTTTAAAGAGTACCTATTATGCTTTTTGTGGTCTTCCCTTTCACAACAGAGCCGACCAGCTAACCTGAACATCAGCAGGAGAGGACTCTTTAAAGTAGAGACACTACATACTGATATACACCTGGACATCAGCAGGAGAGGACTCTTTAAAGTAGAGACACTACATACTGATATACACCTGAACATCAGCAGGAGAGGACTCTTTAAAGTAGAGACACTACATACTGATATACACCTGAACATCAGCAGGAGAGGACTCTTTAAAGTAGAGACACTACATACTGATATACACCTGAACATCAGCAGGAGAGGACTCTTTAAAGTAGAGACACTACATACTGATATACACCTGAACATCAGCAGGAGAGGACTCTTTAAAGTAGAGACACTACATACTGATATACACCTGAACATCAGCAGGAGAGGACTCTTTAAAGTAGAGACACTACATACTGATATACACCTGAACATCAGCAGGAGAGGACTCTTTAAAGTAGAGACGTATTATTTTGGTGTATACAGCACGTTGCAGTATTTTGTGCAACAGTGCTGAGCTTTGAGTGCACTCTGCTTGTGCAGACATGAACAGGGAGTGGGCCGACCTTATTTCTCAGTAACACACATCTGCCTGGAAGCAGCAGCTGCAGCTTAGTCTACAATCTGCAGTCATAGCAATCAAAGAAAAGCATATAAACGTCTGTGTGGTTTAGAGAAAGCTATCGACTGCATGATGAAAAATGACCTGATATCTATTGCTGTGATTCCTCCCGCTCAATGAGTCTAATTAGATACTGACTGGCCATAATGTCCGGGATAATTAATAGCCATCTGTCATTTTCATTGGGTATCCTTTGCTGGCAAGAGCCTCGGACGGACTTTAACGGCACCAACGACCTTCATTTTCAATTTAAAATCAATGCCAGTCTGTAATTTCAGCCTCGATTCGGTTCAAAAATGCAATAACCTGCCCTGCTTCATTCTGCTGCTCTGGGTTATGATGAGTTCAGCCTGCACGCTTTCTATTTTTTTTTACTTTTTACCCACATCCTCCGTGTCCTTCCCTGCCTTTTGAGCTAAAAACAAAAAAGGAAGCCCATTCCTGCATTCATTTGGACTTTTATAACTGATATGTTAACCTTGGTGCACCCATGTTGGTGCATCCAAATGTGCTTCTAAAAGCCAAAAATCTGACACAGAATCATGTTTATTTCCAAGTAGCCTATGTACACATGCAAGGAATCGTCTTTAATGTGCAGGGTTCATACAGTAAGGGAATTTAAGTTGTAGAAAACCAACAGAAATGCAAATATATTCTCACACATATTAAGGAGGTTATTTCCAGTTGTGGTGCCTAACTGTAACTTATCTGGCCTTTTTAGCGTAGGTCTGATGACAGCAAGAGTTTCCTGCCTGAGGACAGCAGGTATGATTTTCTGAGAGATAATCTGGAGACAGACCATAAATGCATTAAAAGTAAAGAGTTTAAAAACACCTGTGTGGGAGACAGAGGGCATTTCAGGTGTCTGTGAACTGCATGTTAGTTTTAATTCAAAATGAGGAGATAAGGAAGATTTTCACGGTGCATTAATGGTGGTTCTTGTTGGTTTAAGTGTCCCAGTAAAACAGATTAATGCAGCATTAGGGCCCTCTAGATGTAAGGGATGTAATTGTTAGTGTTAGTAACACCTGTGCCCTTTGCAATGTGAAAAAGGTCACTACAGTCACACAGTTACTAAAAGACAGGCTTCTGAGTCACTATATTTTCAAAATGCATGATCCCTAGCTGTTGGTTTTCATTCCTCTTTTGCAAGGGAGTGTTTTTATGGCAAGTTGATAATTATAAATCATAGGTCACCTGTTTCCCACTCTGCACGACAGGTGGCGCTTAGAGACATTAATCTGGTTTCCTTTACTTTGCATGACAGAAAGTCCGAAAATTAGTTCAGGATTTTATTTTTTAAAGAATACTTAAGGCCGTATGTCTCAGTTAATGCACTATTTATAATCATGACAAAAAAGCAGTACTCTTTTCGTACTTTTGAGTATTAGCATGGATGTGTAGGAAGTCAGTGAAACGCTCACTGACGTGGTGCGTTCAAGGGCACCTCGGAAAAACCTTCTTTGTGGTTTCAGAAAAGCCCCTTTCATGCCTGCAGCCTGTTTGACTACCACTTGCTTTCAGTCAAAGTAAACAAAGTGCATACACTTGCAGATAATATCTTTAAGTTTAATAACCAGATGGACCCTAGTTGGAAATTACAATATATTACTAAAATAGTATATGCAGATATTCCTTTTTTTAAAAGATCTGTTTTAAAGTATTCAGAAAACTGGTGTGAACCAATACTTTCACAACAAAAGCACGAATTATCAAACAAAAAATCAAGAAAAATCAAGTGAGACAATTTAAGAAAACAACGAAAATTCACATAAAAAAAAATCAAATAAGACATTTCTTTTTTTAAGGAAAAATAATGTTTTGAAGTAAGAGAAAATTAACCGAAAAAAGGACTGGAAAAATCATGAAAAATCAAGTAAGTTTTTGTTCAACTTATTTTAAAACAATTAAATAACTAGCAATTTATTAATTAAAATCTCCTCACACCTGGTTGGTTGAACTCTCCCACCAGATCTGGCTGCTACTCTCGCGAGATCTGGCCACCCCACCAACAGCCACCAGCGGGAACAGATTCTCACTCAGGCGAAGAGACAGCAGGAGAAAGGGACGAAAGGGAGGCTGTTTGAGACGAGATTTCTCTAAAACAGGTGAGCATTTCTCCTCCAAACTTCACAGGTGCGTTTGTGTACATGTCAATAAAGATGTTATTTATTAAAACACCGATGGAGGTGTTTGTTTATCGTCTTACACTCGATTACTTGTGGGGATGCTGTGTGTCGCAACCTGATGTCCTCGGAAATCATCGGCTATCTTCGGCTATCATCGGTTATCATGAATTACAATTAATATTTATATATTTTTTTTAATTAAATATGTCGTTTTTTTTGTTGACAGACCAGACTTCAATTTCCGCTAACGTTAATGTAATTAATATTATTATTATTATTATAAAGTCATCCACAAACAACATGGCTTCCAAGAAAAATATCGATTTCAAATTTGGTAAATCACACATTTTTGGGAAAAGCCAATCATGTACATCCAGCCATTAAGCCTCATAAAGCATACAATCAACAAAAAATGAACAAAATACACACACATTAGTTTAAAATAATATTTGACTGCTTATATTTTAGCTAGCTATCATAACCGAACATTTGGTAACTTAGCAACGGTTAGCTACAATGCTAGCTTTAGGAGACCCTTCGTTAGCTGTCGGTTTTATGGTTATTATAAGAACATATGTCAACCATAAAGTGGAAAATGTGAGATCTAAACATAGTTTTATGTTTCCTTTCCCCAGCCAAGATGGATACGAGACTACCACAGCAATATTAAAGTATTTTTAGGGATGTTTTCACTTGTTATGTAACGTTTTAACGTTTTTAGCTATTATTATTAATGTCCTCATGCTATCTGTCAAACAATCTGTTGATGGAAGCTTCTAGAAAGTGCAGTTTCTGTTTCCTCACTTTAGGCCAGTCTGTTTTCACTGCCAAAACCAGTTTAATAATGAGTTTTAACACCAACAACAACATGGCATCCTCCACTGGATTCAAAAACCACAACATCTTAATTGCATCGTGTGAAATGTGTATAAAGACAACCAATTTGTATACACAATGCTGAAAGAACAGATCTTATAATTGATTAATCAAAGGGCACCAGATGACCCACATTTTAAACATGGGTTCCCTGTGTTTTTGTTCACATTTACATGGATTCCCTGTGAAAACCCCCTGTTTGGATATGGCTATAAATCACTTTAGGTGCACCTTGTTAGTGTGTTAAACTGTCTCCTGTGTCTCTGTTCGGTCTGCTGTGTTTCCGTTCCTCTTGTCTTGTTAACGTGAGATTTGTAGTGGTGTTGGAGAGTTTTTAAAACACTGTCAGACCTACTGGCTTTGTTGAAAGCTTGTTAAATCTCCTAATATATATTGAGGCTGGGTTTGCATTCATTTCAGAGAACTAGTTTGTCATCTTAGACAGAAACCAAAAGTCTAGTCAGAGATTGAAACCAAGAGATAAGCTGGCACTGTTCTGTCTGTAATAACTGATGAGTTTCTGTGATCATAGATCAACCTCTTTTATGAGCCAATTTCCTGATGTCCTACTGATACTGATATGATGTTCTTAAATAGAAAGTAAAGTAAGACTTCAGAGATGATAACTTGTCATTTTGGGGAAATTCCAGTCACGTTGTTGGCTTCCAATACTAATCTATATCCTATTACATTGATTAAGACAAGGTCTAGTCAGTAATGCATTTTCATTATGCATTTGTTTATTATCCCCTAAGTAATATAACCACTTAATATACAAGCTGCCTACAATAGAACCACATTAAAAATCAATTAACCAATTGAGATGGCTTGCTGCTGGATAGCTCTGTGATATGAAACCACACTTTTATTTTCTTTTAATGGTGTAATAATGATAATATGAACTGAAAGGAGAAGTGTTAAAACCAACAGAAGTCTGTCAACACAGGGCTGAATTAAACAAGAATACAAATAAATGTGAAAAATAGAAAAAAGGATGTAATTTATAATAAATACAATTAAATTAAAAGCCAAATTAAAAAGGTTGTGGGGCGTAACAATAAATAGACGCTTAGTTGTTGCTCTTTGTTCATTTCAGGTATGATTAAATTAATAATATATGATTAAATTATAATTAAAAGGACAGTAGCAGAAGACCTGAGGGTTCATATTTTAAAAGCAAATCTTATAAATAGCTACGATCAAGAGGATCAATCAATCAATGTTTATTTATCCCAATATCACAAATGTTACATGTGTCTCAGTGGACTTCACAGTTTGTACAGAATATCAGTATGACAATACGACCCCCTCTGTCCTTAGACCCTCTGTCCTTAGACCCTCTGTCCTTAGACCCTCTGTCCTTAGACTCTCTGTCCTTAGACCCTCTGTCCTTAGACCCTCTGTCCTTAGACCCTCACATCGTACAAGGAAACACTTCCAGAGAGAAACCCCACAGTTTAAAGGGGAACATGGGAGAAACCTCAGGGAGAGTAACAGAGGAGGGATCCCTCTCCCAGGACGGACAGACGTGCAATAGATGCCGTGTGTAAATCGAAAAGATAAGGGGAGAGGAGGCTGTGGCTCAGTGGGATAGTGTGCTGAACTTAGTGCAATAGTGTGCTGAACTTAGTGCGCTGAACTTTTGCCCACAGTACTGAATGTATGTATTGCACATGCTTTCAGTCATTTCCTTCATCACCCTCATCAACTCAAGCTTTGCATTACAAGTGCAGTCAAACCTTGCATGGCTCTACTACTGTACAACATCTCCTCGAAGTGTTCCTTATACTCCAACTGTGCCTTATATTATAGTATAGTATATCTCTTTGATAAGCTCTTTCAGACTTCCCTTTTCTTCAGCGTTCTTCCATTTGCGAGCCCTTAAGTGTCTTCCCTGCCTAAAAAAGCCTGAGCCAGTAGTCAGTCATCACGTAGTGAGTAATACAGAGAGCTCATCATGCAGAACAAAGGCATCTCCCATGCGCTCTTCACTGACAGACAGTATATTTAACAGCCTTTTTTCAGCCAATAGGAATATTGAGATACTTTTTAATATCTCCTTTCATGAGTGACTGAGGCCAGTGTTTTTTAACCCTCTTGAGACGAGATTTCAAGGCCCCAACATTTTGTAATATTTAGAGTAGGGCTGTGCAATTAATCGTATTTAATAATCGTGATATCAATTATTGACCCAAATAATCGTGATTATGATTTTTGCCATAATCGCACAGCCCTAATTTAGAGTGACATGTAATGTAATGTAATAATACATTTACAACATAGGTAGACCAAATGCATGTGTAAGAGCTTTAAAAACAAATACAAGGGTTTTAAACTTAATTCTGACGCTCACAGGTAGCCACTGCACAGATTTTAAACATCTGGTCTTCTTTAAAACTCGTAAAAAGAGTCTTAATTCCTCGTAAATGAACCAAACCACCACAGCAGAAGTCTACAGACACAGACAAAGCAGAACAAGGTCATCTTGTCCTTTTCATTTTCTTGCTTCCTCTTATCGTTACCTTGAAATCCAAGAGATATTTTGAGCTTTTGTTTCAACCAGCTGTTCAATTACAGTCATAACAGGAAAAACAGGTCCTTGCAGATTAAGCTTATTTTATACACAACGGCAATTCAAGGTGCTTCACATGAGAAACTACACACACGCAAAATACATGAAAAGAAGGCAAATCATACGAGACATTGAAGCTAGTTTAAAAATCAGCGTTATGAAGACAGTTCAGCTGCAAAGATGGAAAAGCATAATACTAAAATGACTCAGTGGTAAACGTTGTTATCCTCAGTTTACCACCATGACAGAGACTTATCATTACTGTCATCCCTCTTTATAAATACACACTTCAATGGGGAAACTCCCTATATGTTGAGATGTTTGTGTGAGGATCCCATAACACATTCAGTTTTATAAAAATATAGAAAATACAGTTAAAAGTATGTTAAAAATGACTACTTTGCCCTCATTAACAATCACCCAGAAGGACTACGTCTTTTTGACTCCCACTAGTTTGTTTCAGGAGGATTTTAAAACCTTTTTCCTCTCTGTCTGATAACTTTTTATACCTCTTCTTCACTGAAGCATGATGGGATTGACTGACCCACATCGTTTTATTTACGCTGCAGGAGCTCAAATCCATCAGATCTGGGTTTGCTGCGTAACGCTATATACCACGAGGCTTAAATCTGCACATTATGAGTGCAACATGACGCCTCTGCTGCACCCTTTCTGGTGAAAACAGAGATTGGCACCGAGCAGGAAATAGTAGTTTGTCATGTCTCAAAGCTGCGGTGTTGTGTATTGCACGTCAAACAACAAAAAAGAGACAGATTTTCTATACTTCCACTTCAAAGTATGTGTGGCTTCAGGCCTACACAGAGAGGAATGGGAATGTAAACAAAGGGACTCTTGTACATCAGTGGGAAACACTTCAGCACAGCTAATGATGCTAAAGAAGCTAACTTCAATAGTCAAAAAGGGGCGTAGAGTTTATATTATTTAGTTATGAGTTGCTATCACAGATCCACAAGTTTTAGCCGTTCTAGTGTCCCATTAACTCCCAGCTGCTGCAGGTGAACTGCTGGCAGGTGAGTGGGTCAGTAATGGCTGAATTTAGGAAGATGAACATGGGACAAAGTGGTTTAATTCTTAGACAAAACCCAGAGGAAACTGTGGGTTCACATTTTGCTTTCCGTGTGCCTCCTTTGCAAAAACATCATTACAGACGACTCTTTCACCAGCTCATTGCAAGAACGTCCACCACAAAACTTCAAGTATTTAGATTCTGGTCTATATTTGGACGTGGTAACAGAAAAATAGGACATTCTTCTTGCTGATAAGATGGGAATCAGTTAATGGGGAATTCAACAGAGTTACCGTGTGATTCAAGCATTCGAAGAGGGAGTTTGGTGCCAATGTTTTAACCAGGAGGCGCTTACTGGCACTGCCTCATGCACACACACACACACACACACACACACACACACACACACACACACACACACACTCTCTCTCTAACTGCAAAGGCCACAGGGTATTAATAGCAAACAAACAGGACACAGTGGACTGGTAAGTAGATCTCACTGGTTTGTTTATCATTTTTATTGCGATAGCTGAGATACCTCCCGGTGATTGATGGTGTGTTTTATTGGCATTTCCTCTTTGTTTTAGTGTTGCTACTCATATAAGTTTCTGCTGCTCCTAGAAAGACAAAAATGGGTCTAAATGTTGGGTTTTCTGTTAGCGTTGAGGCGTGGTAAGGAACCTAGAACGTCTCTTTTTCAATTATGCAACTTTGGGTGTGATTTACCAGCTTTACTCGATATGTTGTGACGACATTTCTTCGTCTAAGGTCTGTTATCCAGAGAATTGGTGTGTTTTATATCCTGACATATCTTTTATATATAATATATATATATAGTGATGATTTGGTTCCAACAAATGTCTTATGTGCAAGACTATCAAATCAAATCAAATCAAAGTTTATTTATAAAGCACATTTAAAAGCGATTTTTGGTCGGGCCAAAGTGCTGTACATGTAATAAATACTACAATCATAAAAACACATTACTATAATCACAATAAAAGACAATAAATTACAACAGATATATAAAAAAAAAACACAGGGAAAAGTCAGGTAGTCGTGCTCCGCTCTGACTATAAGGCCAGGGAGAAGAAGTGTGTTTTAAGAGTAGCATTATCTATTAATAAAAAAGGGGTGTCATGTCGTCTTAGGTCGAGATAACCCAACAAGAAACCACAATTTCCCCTTTTTGTCCAAGTTAATAAGACCTTACAAGTTAAAGCACACATAGATGAACTGTTACACTCTGTCACTTTCACACAGGAGAGGAAACAGGTCTTCTGTTCAGTTCCTCTCTTTCATACAGAGCGTGTTAACCAGAGGCTGATCTGCTCGTACAGGCGTTGACAGAAATCTTGTGACATGCCGTGCTTTTAAATCCCACCCACAGCAGAAAATATGGCACTGGGAAAGTGTTAACCTTTTATTAAAGAAAGACAAACTATTATAAAACTGGTTTCAAACACAGAGGATAAGGCACCTGAAGGCAAACATATCATAAAGGTTACTTCCCTACGTTAGAGAGTGTGTTCTGCAAGTGTTTTACAGCCTAACACTTTGATATATCTCTATAGATCTAGGTCTGTTTGCAGCAGTTGTTATAATATTCCTAAATCAGAGGTTGTGAGTGCTTTGTCGATCTGTTCATGCCGTATTGGTAAAAATACGTCCCTGAAAAGATGCCCTGAATATCTTCTGATCCTTTTTTCATCAGACCTGTTCTGTCTTGTTTTTGAGAGGCTAAGCTTCATAACTTTGGCATGAGGTCATGAAAAAGACCTCCAGGGGTTTTTATAGCTATATCCACACTTTCTTTGTAACCGCCTCAGGCTAAGGGATGATCACCTGCTTATTATGTAATTTTGCTGGTATTAGCTTAGCTGTCCTCTCCCCCCCCCCCCCCCCTGCATCTCTATTTTCGTGCAGTTGATTACATTGCAACCCTTTCCACTAATGCACCCCTCGGGTCTGGAAAGGAGGTATCTTTTCGTCACACATGGCCACGCTCGGTTTGGCTTTATCTCGTCAAACATGTCCTAACAGAACTTCTCTTAATCTCCACATACAGAGCCATGCTGGAGTACTACCAGATGCTAGGAGTCCAGAAAAATGCATCGCAAGACGACATCAAAAAGGCGTAAGTGTGTCTTATTTCCTCCCCAGTGTTATGGTTAAATGTCGCCCACTCAGAGGGGTGTAATAGGTTAATTATATCCCCCTCTAGCTGTGTAAACTGACAGAAGGAGAGGCAGAGCAGAGAGGCTGCAATGCAGAAAGTTTCCACTCTTCTTCCTGTAACCTTGCTTTGAAATACCTTCCCTTATACTCACCCTCTGAACACACCACTACATTTACTCTCAGGTGTCTCTGTGGGGTTTAAAGAGTCCTCTCCTGCTCATGATCAGGTTGATATTTCTATTAGTGTCTCTACTTTAAAGAGTCCTCTCCTGCTGATGTTCAGGTGTATATCAGTATGTAGTGTCTCTACTTTAAAGAGTCCTCTCCTGCTGATGTTCAGGTGTATATCAGTATGTAGTGTCTCTACTTTAAAGAGTCCTCTCCTGCTCATGATCAGGTTGATATTTCTATTAGTGTCTCTACTTTAAAGAGTCCTCTCCTGCTGATGTTCAGGTGTATATCAGTATGTAGTGTCTCTACTTTAAAGAGTCCTCTCCTGCTCATGATCAGGTGTATATTAGTATGTAGTGTCTCTACTTTAAAGAGTCCTCTCCTGCTGATGTTCAGGTGTATATCAGTATGTAGTGTCTCTACTTTAAAGAGTCCTCTCCTGCTCATGATCAGGTTGATATTTCTATTAGTGTCTCTACTTTAAAGAGTCCTCTCCTGCTGATGTTCAGGTGTATATCAGTATGTAGTGTCTCTACTTTAAAGAGTCCTCTCCTGCTGATGTTCAGGTGTATATCAGTATGTAGTGTCTCTACTTTAAAGAGTCCTCTCCTGCTATGTCATGTGTATTTCATTAGTGTCTACTTTAAAGAGTCCTCTCCTGATGTTAGTTATATCAGTATGTAGTGTCTCTACTTTAAAGAGTCCTCTCCTGCTGATGTTCAGGTGTATATCAGTATGTAGTGTCTCTACTTTAAAGAGTCCTCTCCTGCTTGATGTTCAGGTGTATATCAGTATGTAGTGTCTCTACTTTAAAGAGTCCTCTCCTGCTGATGTTCAGGTGTATATCAGTATGTAGTGTCTCTACTTTAAAGAGTCCTCTCCTGCTGATGTTCAGGTGTATATCAGGATGTAGTGTCTCTACTTTAAAGAGTCCTCTCCTGCTGATGTTCAGGTGTATATCAGTATGTAGTGTCTCTACTTTTAAAGAGTCCTCTCCTGCTGATGTTCAGGTGTATATCAGTATGTAGTGTCTCTACTTTAAAGAGTCCTCTCCTGCTGATGTTCAGGTGTATATCAGTATGTAGTGTCTCTACTTTAAAGAGTCCTCTCCTGCTGATGTTCAGGTGTATATCAGTATGTAGTGTCTCTACTTTAAAGAGTCCTCTCCTGCTGATGTTCAGGTGTATATCAGTATTTAGTGTCTCTACTTTAAAGAGTCCTCTCCTGCTGATGTTCAGGTGTATATCAGTATGTAGTGTCTCTACTTTAAAGAGTCCTCTCCTGCTGATGTTCAGGTGTATATCAGTATGTAGTGTCTCTACTTTAAAGAGTCCTCTCCTGCTGATGTTCAGGTGTATATCAGTATTTAGTGCATCTACTTTAAAGAGTCCTCTCCTGCTGATGTTCAGGTGTGTATCAGTATGTAGTGTCTCTACTTTAAAGAGTCCTCTCCTGCTGATATTCAGGTGTATATCAGTATGTACATCAGCAGGAGAGGACTCTTTAAAGTAGAGACACTACATACTGATATACACCTGAACATCAGCAGGATATGTCCTCTTATATAATGGCTTCTGCTGCTTTTACTGGTCTCTCACTACAAAGACAGCATTGCTGAACCCATTAACCAGGCTTTAAACCAGTCACAAATCTCAACAAAGACGAGCATCACAAAGACTAGTCACTATAGATCCGACTGTAAGGCGATGAATCCCTGAATTGTTCACTGTGTCACTCTCAGTTTGTGGTCTTGTCCGCATCATGGCTGTGTTTTTTCACTGCCGCCGGGCTTAGAAGCAAAAACAGCTGATGCAGCGTAAGCGAGTTCAGGCTGTCTTTGTTATTTCTGCTTGGATGAGGGAAAGGAGTGTGTGTGTGGTGTGATGTGTGGTGTGGTGTGTGTGTGTGTGTGATGTGTGTGTTGTGTGTGTGTGTGTGTGTGTGTGTGTGTGTGTGTGTGTGTGTGTGTGTGTGTGTGTGTGTGTGTGTGTGTGTGTGTGTGTGTGTGTGTGTGTGTGTGTGTGTGTGTGTGTGTGTGTGTGTGTGTGTGTGTGTGTGTGTGTGTGTGTGTGTGTGTGTGTGTGTGTGTGTGTGTGGTGTGTGTGTGTGTGTGTGTGTGTGTGTGTGTGTGTGTGTGTGTGTGTGTGTGTGTGTGTGTGTGTGTGTGTGTGTGTGTGTGTGTGTGTGTCTGAAGGGGGTTCCTGTGTTTTTAGTGTAGGCCTGGTTGCCATCCTAAAAAAAGACTGTGAAAGAGGGGATGTATAAACACTTTCTATTTCACATATCTGACCCTTTTAAATATCAAATTATCTGTTTTTATAAAACCGTCCACACAACTGTCTTTTCTACGGAATACTCATGTGTTCATAGTATATAAAAAATGCCAATAACGGTGTATAATATATTCCTATTTATCTGTATTGTGTCTGTCTGTCTGATCTATAGTTTAATATCAATACTGTCAGATGTATATATTTATGATATTGTATTATTATTCGATGCTTACTGCATTTCATTGTCTCAGGACTTGAATCTAATCTAATCTAAATGGCACACATTTTTTCTATATTTTAATATGTTTTTTGTGTCTCAGTTACAGAAAATCGGCGTTGAAGTGGCATCCGGACAAGAACCCCGACAACAAGGACGAAGCGGAGAAAAGGTTCAAAGAGATTTCAGAGGCGTATGAAGTGCTCTCAGACGGTGAGGCTTTGTTCATGAATATATGACGTCATTTTTTGGGGCTTTTTACAATGTTTTTCCTCAACGTTAGAGACTGGACGACAACTTTTATTTGTCTTTATTCAAAGTCCTTTAGAGTAGACTGTTGACTTCTTTTGGGCGAAATCTTTATAAGAATGACAAAATCAACATGTAAACAACAGCAAAGACATTTCTATTTATCCTTTAGTAGCTGTTGCTTAAACTCAAAATAAACCATCAATAAATTCACAAGTTATCAGTAATCAATTGTTAAATAATCCCTATCTTTTTTTAAAGAAATTGCACAAAAATTAGTATTTTAAATTCTCCTAAAAGCCCACACAAACATAAACAAATCATTATTATATCAATATAGCTTTGAAAATTGTCGCTGCGTAAAAAAATGTCCATTTACAGCAAATGCTAAGAATCTAAAATGGAAGTCAAATCAAAATAATTAATGTATTTATTGACTTTTATATTTTCATTGCAGTGTTAATTTCGTCAACGAAAACTATGACGAAAAATGTTCGTCAACGACCTTTTTTACATGACTAAGACGAGACGATGACGAACTAAAAATAGATTCTTGATAACGAAAATTTGACGAAATGTATATTTAGTTTTCGTTGACGAGACGAGACGGGACTAAGGTGTTAATGGTGGACTATCGGACATTCAAAATGCAGGGTATTTCCCCCCAAGTGTCCGTCTTGTCTGTCAAAATGCATCTTACATTTCTAACTTGCAATATCATTATTTCCGCTCTCTTCACTCCAGAAGAGCGATCTCCCTTGTCTCTCTGTGTGCGGGGGGCGGGGCCTAACTCTCTCTCTGTGTGCGGGGGCGGGGCCTAACAGACACGCTGCAGCGGCACACAGAGATCTGCCGGGGACGGAGCGTTCAGAAGTATAGAGACACTACAAGGCTCGATGTGGACAAAGCTCGTTTGCCATGTTTTCGCGTTAGCGCGTTGACACGAGTAGAGTAGTCTGTCCAAACAGCCGGCCAAAAGGCGTCATATTCAGTCGGAGAAATGCACAATTTTCGACTTCCTTAACTCGTAGCTCTGTTGCCCCAATTACGAGTAACGTTATCACATCAGGTGTGCAGAGGTGGGAGAAGAACTCAGATCTTGTAGCTAAGTAAAAAAATACCATAGTGTAGAAAGAGTTCCTCAAGTCAAAGTATTCTCATCAAAATATAGTGAAAGTAGCGACAGTAAAAGTAGTCATTGTGCAGATTGGTCCATTTCAGAATAATATATATGATATGTTTTATAATGATTGATCATTAAAGTGTTCTCAAAGCTGGTAAAGGTGCAGCTAGTTTGAATGGCTTTGTATACTGCAGGGTAGCTTGTGGATTTACTCCAGGTGGAACTAAAGTCTGATTTAACACTTGGTTATATTTCACATCATTCATCCACATCTGTGAAGTAACTAAAGGGATTAAATACATGTAGTGGAGTAAAAGTACACAGTAGCAAAACATTTAAATACTCCAGTAAAGTACAAGTACCTCAACATTTTACTCAAGTACAGTACAATATTTTAACATAATTATATATATTTCATTTATTTCACATTTAAATAAAGCAATTAATTCGGTTAACAATTTGTTCATTTTTTCCTTTAAAAAAGAACAAAAAGTACCTACAAGAATACCGTTAAAGTACCGGATCGATAAGCAGTATTGATAAGACTAGTAGTACCATAGAAAACCTTAGCGATACCCATCCCTAGATATTACACAAGTAAAGTGTTAAGAGAATGAAATGTTGCTTTACGAATGTCAACACTTGATGCTGTCACCTTGATTACAATTTCAGAAACCTGTATTTGCCTAACTGAATTAGTTTAAAGAGAGAAAACATTTTGACTAAAAGTAGACTAAAATGTAATTTTTCATCAACTAAAACTAGACTAAAACGTTTTGAGTTTTCGTCGACTAAAACTATGAAGGATAGAAATAACTAAAATGTGACTAAAACTAATAACCATTTTCGTCTAAAGACTAAGACTAAGACTAAATCAAAAACAGCTGCCAAAATTAACACTGTTTCATTGATGTCTTTAGGTTTAGCCACTTATACCAAAATCATCATTGCTTAATAAAATAAGGAATATAAGAACTGGACGTCATTTTAAGAATAAATATGTGAGCGCGAGGAAATGTAACGTAGGTTTGAGAACGAAACAGAAACCTGTCGTGTTTTTATTTTATATTATTATTACAGTTCTAAAGCACACACCCGGTCTCAGAAGGCAGGTTCGTTGACCTTTGAGATGTCGTTGTAAGAAATGATTGCAGAGTTCATGAGTTTAGTTTGACTTTCTTTTAGACGTTTGATAAACTGGGTGTTTCTCAATGTCGAGGAAGGATGCTCCAGAGCCACTATTTCAAGCATGCTACGTCATCGAGTGCCGCCGAAGGACTGTTCCAATGTCCAGCATACTTGGAATTCTACCGAGCCCGGCGCACATGTGTAGACTCCGCGGTCTTAAAATCCCCACAATGCTTTGCACACGGACCAATTTCCCCAAATCTGTGGCGGAAGATGTAAGAGGCGGGGCCTCTCATATGACGCACACCTGCACACTTGCTAGCCTGTTCCACACTTCGTTTTCTGAATGTCAGGAAGTATTCTTGCCTCGCTTCTGAAGCAAGACGCTCGGAAGACATGTGCTACCAAGCAAGCGTACTCGACATTGAGAAACACCCCCTGTTATCAACATGTGTTCAGACCAAGCCCCCAGGAAGTGCGCCGGACTCTGTGCCCAATATTCGTTGTGGCCAAAGGCGGTACTGCAACATTATGACTTTTTAATCTCAGAATTTCGACATTAGTTGACTTTTTTTCCTCCGAATTAAAATCTTTTTCTCTCAGAATTCCAAATGTAATCTCAGACTTCTGATTTAAGTCTCAGATTGCCGACTTTTTCCCCAGAATTCCTTGTTTTTTTCTTCAGAATTCAATTATTTTTATCCAGAATTCTTAATTTTTTCTTCAGAATTCCAAGTTTTTTGCTCATTGTGATTTTTTTCCTGAGAATTTCAAGTTTCATCTCAGACTTCTGATTCAAGTCTCAGAATTCAATTTTGTTTCCTCAGAATTCCTTTTTCTTTTTCTTCAGAATTCAATTTTTTTTTTGCAATTTCTCTGACTTTTATCTCAGATCTCCCAAATAAAATCACATATGGCTTTCATCATCATCTTCCGCACAGTTGTGATTATAACCATTTCTTATTTTCTGTGTCTCTCTGTTGTCTCTAATCTAATCTAAAGTCCTTCTCTTCCCTCAACAGAAGACAAGAGGAATACCTACGACAGATACGGCAAAGAAGGCCTTTCAGCAGGAGGAAGAGGAGGAGGACGAGGAGAAGGAGGTGAAGACACTTTCAAAATGACTAAATATTCACACAAATCTGCAGTCAATTCTAATATTAAAATCACCGTGCATTTGTATTTTCTTCTGATAGCAGCATTCATAAACCTGGTCGTGATTTTTCACTTTAAACGTCTGTGTTTCTTTCCAGGAGGTCATTATAGTCACTTTGGAGGCAGCGGCTTCACATTCCGAAATCCCGACGACGTTTTCAGGGAATTCTTCGGCGGCAGTGATCCGTTTGCGACCTTTTTTGGTGAGTCCCTTTCTCTTTAAATCTGGCGAGGCACTAACGGTGCTTCATGTTTCTTTATAGAGTAGGAAGAGTCCTAAGAAAGGGTCACACATAAACACAGATGAGCTGAGAAGGATAAACAATATGGAGAATTCTTAAGTACGTTTTTGAGGTACTTCAAACTTAAGTATTTCAATTTGGAAAAAATATGGATCTTAATGTATTATTATTTTGGATTAAGATACCTCTTTTACCCAAAATGTAAATTGTGTTGAGGATCATAAATTAAAATCCAGCAATAGCATAAATATTATTCTGAAATCTGCATAATTTAAATACTGTTAAGTATATTTTGATGCTCATACTTCTGTACTTTGCAGCATTTTTGCTTTTAGGGTCAACCTTTAAAAGACATTATCATGCTGCCTGAAGGACTCTTTAAAGTAGAGACACTACATACTGATATACACCTGAACATCAGCAGGAGAGGACTCTTTAAAGTAGAGACACTACATACTGATATACACCTGAACATCAGCAGGAGAGGACTCTTTAAAGTAGAGACACTACATACTGATATACACCTGAACATCAGCAGGAGAGGACTCTTTAAAGTAGAGACACTACATACTGATATACACCTGAACATCAGCAGGAGAGGACTCTTTAAAGTAGAGACACTACATACTGATATACACCTGAACATCAGCAAGAGAGGACTCTTTAAAGTAGAGACACTACATACTGATATACACCTGAACATCAGCAGGAGAGGACTCTTTAAAGTAGAGACACTACATACTGATATACACCTGAACATCAGCAGGAGAGGACTCTTTAAAGTAGAGACACTACGTACTGATATACACCTGAACATCAGCAGGAGAGGACTCTTTAAAGTAGAGACACTACATACTGATATACACCTGAACATCAGCAGGAGAGGACTCTTTAAAGTAGAGACACTACATACTGATATACACCTGAACATCAGCAGGAGAGGACTCTTTAAAGTAGAGACACTACATACTGATATACACCTGAACATGAGCAGGAGAGGACTCTTTAAAGTAGAGAAAGTGTAATGGGAAAGATAAAGGCTTCTCACTACAAAGACATATTGTTAAAATAAGTCTGACCGTTGACCCGTCTCAGAATTCCCAAATTTCTCACAATTTTCAACTTTTTTCTCAAAATGTCTGACTTTTTCTTACAATTCGACTTCCTTTATGATCGTAACCCAATTTAAAAAAAGACATTTGGAATTTGTTTCTTCTTTTATCTGTCTCTCTGTTGTCTCTATCTAATCTAAAGTCCTGCTCTTTCCCTCGAACAGCGTTTTTTTATTTGTGTGGGGGTGTTTTGTGTGTGTGGGGGTGAGTTTGAGTGTGTGTTGTGTATGTATAATGTGTGTGTGGGTTTGTGTATGAGTGTCTGTGTGTGTGTGCGTGGGTGGGTGGGTGTGTGATCTGCCCTGGTTTGTCCGGCTGATTGGAGGCATGTGCAGGAGCTCTAAATATGGAGTTCAGACGCAGGCGGAGGATGGATTTATAACGTCGACATCACTCAACTGGAATGCTTTCAAAAATAGCTTCCGTATTAAAACAAAAGCAGATGTAATAACTGTGTGTGTGTGTGTGTGTGTGTGTGTGTGTGTGTGTGTGTGTGTGTGTGTGTGTGTGTGTGTGTGTGTGTGTGTGGTGTGTGTGTGTGTGTGTGTGGTGTGTGTGTGTGTGTGTGTGTGTGTGTGTGTGTGTGTGTGTGTGTGTGTGTGTGTGTGTGTGTGTGTGTGTGTGTGTGTGTGTGTGTGTGTGTGTGTGTGTGTGTGTGTGTGTGTGTGTGTGTGAAAAGTGGCACCAGAAGCTTTAAAATCTGTGTTGTCAAATCAGAGATCAATCTTTTAAATCCGATTGTTTTCACGTATTATTGTTGTATTTGTTACCATGGATACGCGGTGTTGCTGTTTACTTTCTTCAGTAAACAAGGCCCTGCTTCTTTTTTTTTTTTAAACAGCTGAATGACGACGAGGCTGTCTGCACCCCGAAGTTCAGGATCTATTTCCACCGGGGGACATCCTTTTTATTACGCTTAATATTCACGACACAGGATACGTCCGGGTTAATTCCCGCTCTATATTTAGGGCTTTTCCTCGGATCGGAGCTATATATAAAGAAGCGTTTGGGTTTGACCTTTCTTAGCATGGCCGCCGCAGAAAAGAGAAAGTTGTTCAGACGTGTTTTTCAATTCCCCTTCAGCCTCAGAGAGCAGCAGCTGGTGTCGTGGATCTGTCACTCAGAGAGACAGCAGACATTCATTCAGACACCAGGAAGCGGACAAGAAGGACGCTTAAAACGCACACAACGACCTCTAGGAAGATCCTGTAATCTGCAATATGGAGCACATTTGAATAAACCCAATCAATCAACCAAAAAGACCAAAGAATTAATACAAATAAATAGATAATAATACAAATAACACATACCAAGTTACATAAACATTTGTTAAGGATAAAAATGCAGAAGTCACGAAACACAAGAATATAATAGAAAAAAATATCAAATTAAATACATTAATTAATTAAATAAAAATTAAATAAATACAAATAAAATACAAAATAAATAAGAATAAAATACACATTTTAATAAATTAAATACAAATAAAATAAGAAAACAACAAGAATAAAATACAAATAAAATAAGAATAAAATACAAATAAAATAAGAATAAAATCAAACTAAAATTATAATAAATACACTTCAATTAAATCCAAATTAAAACGGTGTCTCTGCCGCTCTGTTTTTTTTTTTAGGTAGGCTGTTCCATAAATCCTGAGCTGTAATAATAATTGTAAAGACGCCTCATCATGGGTCTTTGAGGTATGATCAAATGAATACTATATAATCAAATTATAATTAAAAGGACAGTAGCAGAAGACCTGAGGCTCCTCGAGGGCTTATAGGTTCACAACAAATCAAAAAAATAGACAATCAATAAAATATCAACAGTTTTTACACCCCGTCTGTCGTACATACTGCATCATTCTTTTAAAATATCTCTCTAAAAAGCTCCGTTAATCTGTACATTATGCGTTGACATCCTGTGTAACGTTAGGTGTGATTTAGTCTTTACATTCCTCTCTTTTACTTCCACGTTAAGAGCTGTTGGAGTAGTAGTAGGAGGAGAACCTTTATTTAGCCAGGAAAATCAATTAAGAACACATTCGTATTTTCAATGATGACCTGACAGGAGGCAAAAGGCTTCCTGAGGGGATGGGGGTTGGGAGGAAGACAATAAAAAGACAGACTCCGGGCACTACAGAACCCAGGAGACAACACAATGACACAGAGCAGAGATGGCAGGCATAGCAGTTACACATATAACATCTCTACAATAATACTGCTGGAGTTCAATCAGTCATTCCTTCATGGCAATGCCAACTATAGCAGAGGTCAAGACATTTGTAGTGAGCATCAGGCAAAGCAGTTGCATGTGTGTACCAGGGTGTTTGTAATAGTGTCCCTGAAGGAGCGGGGGGGAGATAAAGGTCAAAGGATGTATGGGCTTTGGGGATCTTTAGCAGGATGTGTGTAGCTGACCGGGTGTTGTGCATGGGGGGTGGGCGGAGTTGCAGTAATTGTGTGAGGTAGAAGGGCAGGTGGAAGCAGGCCTCAGCTAGCAGGGCAGAGCAGGGCAGGTGGAAGCAGGCCTCAGCTACAGCAGCAGAGCAGGGCAGGTGGAACCAGGCCTCAGCTACAGCAGCACAGCAGGGCAGGTGGAAGCAGGCCTCAGCTACAGCAGCACAGCAGCACAGGGCAGGTGGAAGCAGGCCTCAGCTACAGCAGCACAGCAGCACAGGGCAGGTGGAACCAGGCCTCAGCTACAGCAGCACAGCAGCACAGGGCAGGTGGAACCAGGCCTCAGCTACAGCAGCACAGCAGCACAGGGCAGGTGGAACCAGGCCTCAGCTACAGCAGCACAGCAGCACAGGGCAGGTGGAACCAGGCCTCAGCTACAGCAGCACAGCAGAGCAGGGCAGGTGGAAGCAGGCCTCAGCTACAGCAGCAGAGCAGCACAGGGCAGGTGGAAGCAGGCCTCAGCAATATCTGTCAGTCTGGAAACACCTCCTTCCCTTCCAGCTGTCTCCTCTGCAGGTAAATGGGCAGCAATGCAGGTTCAGCAGTGGGTTTATTTGACGCTTTTCAAGGTTGAAGGAGGAGTGTTTTTGCAGGAAATGGTGCCAGAGATCCAGATCTGCAGTGAGCAATTAGCAGAACGTCCACAGGGTTTTATCAGGACAGTTTAGGGTTAAGATTGTTCCAGAAATGAAATCTTAGGCTGTTGCATCCACCATAGCTCATTTTTAAATGATAATCAATAGTTTAATATTAAAATGCATCAAACAACTGTGTTTTTAAAAGAAAGGCAGTGGTGGAAGAAGTTCTTAGATATTAGATATCAGCTTTTTACTCTCGCAAGGATCCTGGAGGGGGCCTGGGAGTACGCTGATCCGGTCTACATGTGTTTTGTAGACTTGGAGAAGGCGTATGACCGGGTTCCCAGGGAGTTACTGTGGGAGGTGCTGCAGGAGCATGGGGTGAGGGGGTCTCTACTCAGGGCCATCCAATCTCTGTACTCCCAAAGCGAGAGCTGTGTCCGGGTCCTCGGCAGTAAGTCGGACCCATTTCCGGTGAGGGTTGGTCTCCGCCAGGGCTGCGCTTTGTCACCAATCCTGTTTGTAATATACATGGAGGATTTTGAGGCGTAGTCGTGGGGGAGGGGGTCTGCAGTTCGGTGGGCTAAGGATTGCACCACTGCTTTTTGCAGATGATGTGGTTCAAATGGCTTCATCGGTCTGCGACCTTCAGCACTCACTGGATCGGTTCGCAACCAAGTGTACCCCAAGTGAAGGAGTTCAAGTATCTCGGGGTCTTGTTCTCGAGTGAGGGAACAATGGAGTGTGAGATGGGCCGGAGAGTCGGAGCAGCGGGAGCGGTACTGCAGTCGCTTTACCGCACTGTGTGACGAAAAGAGAGCTGAGCCAGAAGCTCTCTGTCTACCGGGCCATCTCCGTTCCTACCCTCACCTAAGGTCATGAAGGATGGGTCATGACCGAAAGAACGAGATCGCGGATACAAGCGGCTGAGATGGGTTTTCTCCGCAGGGTGGCTGGCGTCTCCCTTAGGGATAAGGTGAGAGGTTCAGTCATCCGGGAGGGACTCGGAGTTGAACCGCTCCTCCTTCACGTAGAAAGGAGCCAGTTGAGGTGGTTCGGGCACCTAGTAAGGATGCCACCTGGGCGCCTCCATAGGGAGGTGTTCCAGGCACGTCCAGCTGGGAGGAGACCGAGGGGTAGACCTAGGACCAGGTGGAGGGATCATATCTCTTCGCTGGCCTGGGAGCGCCTTGGGATCCCCCAGTCAGAGCTGGTTGATGGGAAAGGAACGTTTGGAGCTCTCTGCTGGAACTGATACCTCCACGACCCGACCACGGAGAAGATGGATGGATGGATGGATGGATGGAAATGTGGCAATTTCGTTAGTTTGTTCTTATGATGTTCAAATCAAAAATAAGTTTGTTAGAAAAATCTCACTGGTCCCCGGCTTGAGCTTCAATCTCAGGATCCATTATAATCCTCTCCAGAATGGAAGTAGTCAAAACAAAAAAAGAGAATTTGATGGTATTTTTCTCATAATCTTAAAAGTCTTACTTTTTCTCAAAATTCTGCCTTTTTTTCTCAAAATTCTGACTTTTTTTCTCAAAATTCTGACTTTTTTCTAAAAATTCTGACTTTTTCTCAAAAAACTCAAAATTAAGACTTTTTCTCAAAAATCTCATAAATCTGACTTTTTCTGAATACTTAAAAATGTTAATAATCCCTGGTCCCCGGCTTGATCTTCAATCTCAGGATCCATGTATCTGTGATCCTCTCCAGAATGGAAGTAGTCATCACATACAGAGCATCAACTAGTTCCTGAACAGTGTCCTTCACATGCTGATATCCAAGAGAGGGAGTTACACAGTCACAAGATGGAGGAATAGAAAGCAGTATTCAATGTTTACTTCAGATTAGCTCCACGTCAGAAATGAGCATGCTTGTCATATGTCTATCTCCATAGAGGCTGAATCATCATGTTAATCACATAGCTATCATATGCCTCAAACAGTCCTGATGCTCTTCTAGGTAATCATACATCCTGTCATGTTCACAGCTACAGTTGGGATACCTTTGTTAGCATGTTACTCTGATATTGGAAGAGGACATTCAGTATTTTCACAACAACAGGGAAGGGAAAACCCCCCAAAAAGCATAAAAGGACTTCTTAAAACCTCTGTTATTTATACTCTCTCCCCTCTACAGCTGATGATCCCTTTAATGATAATTTCGGTGGAGGTCACAGTCACCACAGAGGTCAAACCCGGGGGTCAGTCTTCGGATTTGGGAGTTTTCCAGCCTTTGGGCCTGGCATCTCAGGGTTCGATCCAGGTGCGTTCACACAAAAAAATTACATTATACTGGATTTTTCGTGAATTGAATGCTTTTTAAATTAATTTTGACGCTGCTATGGACAGTCTTGCACTAATTTACATTCTCAAAGATATTGAAGGGACTGTTATTTTGTATATATTGATTGCTTTTATTTAGGTCTTAATGTGTGCATATGTGTAAACGTGTCTGTTGATTGATATACACTATACTAAAAGATTGACAATTAAGTTGACTTTGACAAATAAATAACATTATACTGGATTTTTCGTGAATTTATGGTGTTTTTATGACCGTTTTCTGGCTGATTATGTGCAGGTTTTGGCTCATTTGGAAACATGGGCGGAGGATTCGCTTCTTTCTCTTCTTCATCTTTCGGAGGAGGAGGAGGAGGAGGAATGGTTGGAATGGTTGGAGGAGGAGGAGGAGGAGGAGGAGGAGGAGGAGGAGGAGGAATGGGAGGTGGAGGAGGAGGAATGGGAGGAGGAAACTTTAAATCTGTGTCGACCTCTACCAAGTTCATCAACGGCAGAAAAATTACTACGAAACGGTACTGAAATATTCCATTTGTATCCGTCTCTTGGCTTTTATTTGATACCGTGTTCCTGTTTCACTTTGTCTTAAAGGTGGGGTAGGTAAGTTTGAGAAACCGGCTCGAGATCGCTAGAATTAGAAAATACACAACCGGAGAAAATCTTCCACTTCCTTACAGAGCCCCTCCTCCAACACACACGAACGCGCACATGACCAATGAGGGCACGAGATAAGTTTGTGCACAGATGGAAGGCTGACAGGCAGGTAGGCCATCCAGTTACTTTAGCCTGGCCGGCTCAGATGATTGGTCGTGCTTTTTACAGTACAGGCTTCCACAGATGATATTTCTTTATGGATTTTTTGTCAAAGCACTTCAGATATTCATTGCTATCGGGATGTTAAGAGCATTCCATGGAATATAACAAGTGTATCTCGAGCCGGTTTCTCAAACGTACCTACCCCACCTTTAATGCTTGTAAATTGCTTCCTAATTCCCAGGTTTAGGACTCATCCCTCCATCATTCCCCAAACGATATGTTTTTTAAGACCCTCTTCCTCAGCCGGACTTCCTCATCTGTCATTTTGTCTTTTCCAGGATTGTGGAGAACGGCCAGGAGCGGGTAGAAGTGGTGGAGGACGGTCAGATAAAGTCTCTCACAGTAAATGGTAAGGAGACGCTCCTAAGACTGGATAACAAGTAGAAATGTCCACCATTTGACCAACGACTGGATCACAAACTCTCCCAGTGACTCTGTTTTGTTCCCGGCGTTTCGGTCTCTCCTCTCTCCTGCTTTTTATTCCAGAAGAAAGCTTTTTTTTCTCATCTTAGTTAAGCTTTAAAGGAGGCGAGAGACATGTTCACAGTATTTGTATATTTGTATTTATTCCATCGTTAAGGGGGGACCATGTGGATTTGTGTTTACTACAATAATTTAATTGTACTTTTTATTTCACAAAGCACAAAGCTTATAGATAGCCGTCTATATTTTTCCTTTGGGTGGATATTGTGTTTGCTGGAAAACAAGATACTGTACTTTTTAGACTTTCTTTCTTTACCAATTTAACAAAGTGAATGATAGAAGCTTCGCCCTAATGTCTTTAACGTCACAGCTGTTCCATGTTCACGCGTGTGTAATTTGAATGACTTAGAGTATTAATAAATTAATACATTTGTTTGTGTATTTGAGAAAACCCACAGAGTGTTTTGTGCATGGTTCCAGGAGGCTGCTTTGTAGTTTTCACTGTTTTCAACACTGCACATTGTTTCCGGATAAACAGGGGAATTTTCATTCTTTGTATAAAAAAAATAAAAAAACACAAAACCAAAACATTTGGTCAATAAACTTCAGGAAAGTGTTCTGCAGTCACCGGGTGTTTTTGTGATGATTTTCGGCTTGATTGTTTTTTTTTATCATCTATTAACCTCAGGTGTGTGTACGGAAGAGGGTTAGGGCCACGAGTAAAAACGAATGTGAGATTTGAGAAACATTTTTTTCTTTTCTTTCTGGGAATAAGTCAGAATGTTGAGGTAAAAAAAAAGATTTGACTTTTTCTCAGATTATTTTGGATGAAAGTCAGAATTCTCAGATTAGAAGAAAAAAAAAGATTCCGAAAAAAATGTGTCGGAATTCTGAGTAAAGAAAAGTGGGAATTCTGAGAAAAAAATGGGAATTCTGAGAAAATAAATGGGAATTATGAGAAAAGAAAGTCAGAATTCTGAGTAAAAAAAAATGGGAATTCTGAGAGAAAAAAAACGGAATTCTGTGAAAAAAAATCGGAATTCTGACATTGTAAAAAATAAAAAATAGTTCTATTTTTTTCTCAGAATTATGACTTTAATCTCAGAATTTTTTTTTTTTAACTCAGATCTCAGTTTTTGTTTCACACATGGCCCTCTTCCTCTTCCTCGTGCCTGATCACATTTTTTTAAACCTGCTTCACAACAAAACCGCAATAAAGGAAACCACAATGGCTGCTCTCTTCCTCACACTGACCCATCAAACATTTCACAGTGCACTAAGTTAACCCACTAATGCCTGGTGAGTGACTCACTCAGTGTGTGCTTTCACTAAAATAACCCCATTTCTGTAAGAATTCATTTTGTTTTCAGCAAAGACACACCTTAAAACCCTGAGGTGTTTTTTGATCTGTGTGGTAGGTATGCTGTTACTTTTATGCTCCAGGTGAAAATGAAACTTACTCGCCCTTTATTTCTCTTGTTGCCCCTCCCTTAACAACGTTGTTATGGAGCGCTGATAAGTGCACCTTTGCAGAAAACGCCCTTAAACAACCTGAGACATTCAGCCAAGATAACGCCTCCACATTTATCTAGTTCTTTATACATACATTCTTAAGTTTGAGCTAGGAAAATCCCCCCAAAATGACATTTAATTACATATAAAGTGCTTGAATGTACTATATAGTCTAGATTACTAGAAGATCTGGTATGTAACTAAGCACAATTACTAAAATATTGTACTTAAATGCAACACTACTACCTTCAAATGTCACATAAATATAATTATACACACATAAAGGCAATTTTTCTGTTACTTTTTACATTTTAAGTACATTTATCTGATAATACCTCTGTGCTTCTACCAGTTAAATCCAGATGTGTGTGTGATGCAGTTGACTCGGAGGTCAGTGTGTACAGAGATTACGTTTTTTAGACTTAATTCTTAAGTTTGAGCTTGGAAAACCCCCCAAAAATGACATTAAATGACATAGAAAGTGCTTGAATGTACTATCTAGGTGTCCTGTTAAACACTGTCTAGAAGAGGTGGAAAGTAACTAAGTACAAATCCTCAAGTACAATTTTTAGTTACTTAAGTACAGTTCTTAAATGCTACTTCATGCAACACTACTACCTACAAATATCACATACATTTAATTATACACGCATAAAGGCAATTTGTCTGTACTTATTATACTTAAAGTACATTTATCTGATAATACTTCTGTGCTTCTACCAGTTAAATCCAGATGTGTGTGTGATGCAGTTGACTGAGGTCAGTGTGTGTGTACAGAGACGAGTGTTTGTTTCTGCAGGAATGTGCTCGGGGCTAGATTTATTTACACAAGACTCGCTGCATATTTTTATAAGACACAAGTCAGGGAGGTGTGGTGTGTGTGTGTGTGTGTGTGTGTGTGTGTGTGTGTGTGTGTGTGTGTGTGTGTGTGTGTGTGTGTGTGTGTGTGTGTGTGTGTGTGTGTGTGTGTGTGTGTGTGTGTGTGTGTGTGTGTGTGTGTGTGTGTGTGTGTGTGTGTGTGTGTGTGTGTGTGTGTGTGTGTGTGTGTGTGTGTGACTATTTTGAATATATTCGTTTCCTTCCCTCAATTTAATATATGTATAACCCTGTTCTGATTGGCTGTCCTGTTGCTAGGTAGGTTTCATCTCTCATCCCTCCTCTCTGTCAGTGTGTGTTTATTTTTAAATTAATAGATAGCAACAAGCTGCATTATCTTATTACGGATTATATGATGATTTTAGGATCTACACACAGATGCTGGCGTTTGATTTCAATGTAGTGGCGCATGCGCAGTTGGGTAGGTGTTGTAGGAGAGGTAATGCTATTTGTAGTGCAACAGCGCCCTCTAGTGGACGTACATGGGGATTACGTAATAAATACATAACAAAATTAATCGGATTACTGTTACTTTACTAAACAATGTGATTTAATAGCAGAATATAAGTACATTTTTAACATACTATAATATATAACGTAGCATATGTACACATGTAAACACTTTAAGAGCAGTAGGTCAAATATAAATACTGTGTTTGCTTTTATTTCACGCATTAAACTAAAACAGTGACTCTACTCTTATCCCCTAAATTGAATCTGTATATTGCTTTTATTTGCTGGTATTCGTATGTTCACAGTTAAACGAACATATTTGATTAAAAATGATATGGATGATCTTAATGCATGTACTGTAGTAAACAAACAAATAACATGTTCTGTTTCTAGTTAAAGGAGAACTCAGGACACATTTCTGTTCCTAAATATCTTGGTTTTCTATCACATTGTTCTGTTGTCTTACATAATAAGTAAAGAAAACACCTTCCTTTCTCTTGTATTGATCTGCATTGCATTTGATATCTAAGTAATCCAAAGTAACGGCAGGTTTTATAGATAACTAGTCATTTTAATGCATTATAATTACTTGCCTAAAAGTCATCATTAATAGTTAATTAAGTCCTCAAAAAGGAGAGTGATGTAGTACCCCCTCTTGGTGTAGTACCCCCTCTTGGCCACTAGGGGTCACTGCTTGTTCACTAAAGGCAGCATGACGTCATCCGTCTGAAGGCTAATTTCCTCAGGAATTACAAATACTGGACAAATGGGTAGAAAAACTGACCACATGACAAGTTACACTCATGGAAACTTGATATTTCTATTGAATGTCTGATATGGGAACCTTCATTTCCTTTATTTTAATCATAAAAGTGATTAATGATCATTTAATTGCCATAAAAGTGGATGAAATTACTTATTGGAAAGGAAGTCCTGCAGTCTTTTCCCAAATCTAATATGACACACACTGTGATTTCCTGTCTCTGAGTTTCTTAATGTTATGAAAGATAGTTAGCGTGAAGCCGCCGGACACTTTATGAACCATGGAAAAGATAGTTTGTGCTTTTATATCTGCATTGTTTCTGAAAATAATAAAATAAAATAAAACAATAAAAAAAATACAATAAATTAGCCCCAAATATTGAAGTGCAGGAGCTTGGAGTCTCACACACACACACACACACACACACACACACACACACACACACACACATTTCTGATTTAATCTACAACACTACAACAGCAGCCATTAATTAACTATATCGTTTTCTGTCGAGGGAAAGAACACACACACACACACACTGGATGTCTCTAATACATATGTAAAGACACACACACACCACACACAATTACACAACAATACACTCACACACGCACACTCACACACACACACACGCACGCACACACGCACACACACACACACGTATAATCCAGCTCCCCCTGATTGGACCCTGGGATGAATGCCGGTCGGGATTAGTCGTTTCTTTCAGAGAAAAGCCACCAATTGTCCTGTGTTCTGTCGGGTCCTCTGGGGGCTGCTCTCTCCTCGCAAAGGGGTCAATTTAAAAAAAGCTGATGTGCAAACTCTGAGATATAAAGAAGCCTGGGACTAAAGCAACATAAATCACCTGTTTTGCAGCAGGAAAATAAAGCACTTACGGCAGCCTATTCCAACCTTAACACACTCCAAACTGCTTTCCGTACAAAGGAATCGACTCGGGTCAAAATGGAGGTCCTGTGGTAATAAGATATTCAAAGACAATTGTCTCCGTTCAGACTTGAAGACATGCAGCGTACAAAAACCCTCCTCCTGAAAGCCTAATTCAAATAGCCACCCCCTAGGAAATGTCACAAAGAAAATGTGAAGGATAGTGTTGCAGTAATCCTCCGGTTGGTTTTACAATCTGCATTAAGGTTGAGGTGATCCCACAGGTGTACAGCAATGTGTATATTTATATATAATAGGCTTGGGGAGTAATGGATTACACAAAATAAAGGTAACGGGTAAAAAAACCTGCTTTTTCGAGATGCATTTTGGTAAGAAATCGCTCAAACTGTTAATACATGTAGTGCAGTAGAGGGATAAAGTCGCATAAAATGGAAAAACTCAGTACAAATACCTCAAAGTTGCACCTTTACAATCTGCATTAATGTTGAGGTGCTCCAACAGGTGTGAGGCAATATGCATATTTATATATATAATAGGTTTTGGGAGTAATGGAAAGCACACAAAAAAAGGTAACTGTAAAAAAAGCTGCATTTTCAATCTTTATTTATTTATATTACACATTTAAAACCACCTCAGGTGACCAAAGTGCTGTACAGGGAATACATACAATATAGAATAACTAGAAACATATAAAAACACAAACAAATGTACAAATGTTATGTTCAACATGTATTAAGAGCCAGCGCAACGAGGTGAGTTTTTAGCTGAGATTTTGCTAAAAGTAGCTCAAACTGTGAATGTAGTCGAGTAGAAGTGTGAAGTCGCATCACATGGAAGTACAAATACCTCCAAATTGCACAGTTCTTGAGTAAATGTACTTCCCGCCATGTCTCTAATGCGTGGTGTGTTTAAGGCCACTCTGATTTTTAAACGTGCTCCATGTGAGCATCTGGCCTCCTTTATCCTCTCTCCTCCGCCTTAATTACACAACACAATGGAGATGAGATCTGCCTGTAATCTCGCAGAATAATAACCCCCCCCACCCCCCTCCTCTTCCTCGTCTTCCTCTTCTATACCAAGCCTGCCACTAATTCAATATAAATGTAAATTACCTGGAGAAAAGAATAACAGAATCTCATTTTATTTACACGACTAATCACAATAAAGTCAGGCGGATGAAATATGAGTGGAATATACGGTCTGCGTATTTTAAACTTTTTATATTATCTCATGTTTACATCAATACGGCTTTTTGTACTTTCTGTAATGGATTTTATTCACACGTCTGAGGCTGAAGAAAACACAAATACATGTTGGTTTGAAGTACATTTAATCAAGTATTTCACTCAGAGGTGGGAGAAGGACTCAGATCTTGTACTTGAGTAAATGTAGAAGTACTCAGATCTTGTACTTGAGTAAATGTAGAAGTACTCAGATCTTGTACTTGAGTAAAAGTAGAAGTACTCAGATCTTGTACTTGAGTAAAAGTAGAAGTACTCAGATCTTGTACTTGAGTAAAAGTAGAAGTACTCAGATCTTGTACTTGAGTAAAAGTAGAAGTACCAGAGTGTAGGAATACTCTGTTACAGTAAAAGTCCTTCATTCAAAATGTTCCTCAAGTAAAAGTAGAAAAGTATTATCATCAAAATATAGTTAAAGTAGCGACAGTAAAAGTAGTCATTGTGCAGATTGGTCCATTTCAGAATAATATATATGATATGTTTTATAATGATTGATCATAAAAGTGTTCTCAAAGCTGGTAAAGGTGCAGCTAGTTTGAATGACTTTGTATACTGCAGGGTAGCTTGTGGATTTACTCCAGGAGGAACTAAAGTCTGATTTAACACTTGATTATATTTCACATCATTCATCCAGATCTGTGAAGTAACTAAAGGGATTAAATACATGTAGTGGAGGAAAAGTACACCATGTACCTCTGAACTGTAGTGGAGTAGAAGTACACCATGTACCTCTGAACTGTAGTGGAGTAGAAGTACACAGTAGCACACCATGAATATACTCAAGTACAGACCCTCATAATTGTACTTCACTCTGTTTTAACCCCTCTTTTCTCTCAGACGTTGCAGCAGAAGACCCCGTAGAGGAAGAGCTTCCTCGCCGCAGACAGAACTTACTTCCTGGTCATCATCAGCGCTGCCTGAGGACCAATCAGAACCCGTCTGAGGAAGAGGAGGAACACAGCCTGCAGAGCCTGGGACTCTCCAGAGGTACAAAGCTATTTTTCTCAGGATCCATGTATCTCTGATCCTCTCCAGAATGGAAGTAGTCATCACATACAGAGCATCAACTAGTTCCTGAACAGTGTCCTTCACATGCTGATATCCAAGAGAGGGAGTTACACAGTCACAAGATGGAGGAATAGAAAGCAGTATTCAATGTTTACTTCAGATTAGCTCCACGTCAGAAATGAGCATGCTTGTCATATGTCTATCTCCATAGAGGCTGAATCATCATGTTAATCACATAGCTATCATATGCCTCAAACAGTCCTGATGCTCTTCTAGGTAATCATACATCCTGTCATGTTCACAGCTACAGTTGGGATACCTTTGTTAGCATGTGTACTCTGATATTGGAAGAGGACACTCAGGATCTTCGCTACAGTATATTACATTAATGATTTGACCGTCTATGTCTCTTGTAGATATTTAATTGCTCTTTTTACTGCACTGTTAGTGTACAGTTGTATTATCATGCTGCTGTGTTTGATGTGTTTTTGTAACTCTGGCACAACAATTTCCTCCAAGATAAATAAAGTCTTATCTTATCTTATGCATGGATGGATTAGAAAACCTTTATTATTGTCGAACACAAATATACAACGAGATGTTGGAGAGCAACCCTCAGTAACAAACAGATCAATAACAACAATCCAGTAGTGCAGAGAAACTTCAACAACCAAACAAAAATATTATGTAGGAACTAGCCAGAAGTCTCACTGGTTAACTAGGAGTGTCTTTTGTCTTCACTAGTTGACACACTTTCTTTAAACTAGTTAACTATCTAAGGCAAACATTTTAACGTAGTAAGCCCCTCTTCCTCTTACAAGTGAACTAGTAAGGTGAAAAGAGGCTTCAACTAGTGAGTGATTTAGGATATTTCTAGTTAAGTAGTGCAGAAAAATGGATGTGAATGAGTAACTAGTTTGCTAATTTCCTGCTTCTTTTAACTAGTTAACATGTCAGAGTCTTTGCCGCTCACTAAGGCTTTTAATTTAAGACTTTTAGTGCCACTAGTTTATCAAAAAGCGGACTAGTTGGGACCTGGCATCACTAGTAAAGATTATGTAGGAAGTAGCTAGATAAAAGTGCCACTACTTGTTGAAAAAGAGAGACTAGTATAACTAAACTAGTGTGACCAAATGTCTAACAAGTGCTAACAAAGAGCTAACTAGTGCAGTCTGTCTGATATCAAGGATATGGAATAAATACTCAAACTGCTTTCCATCCCCCCCCTTCTTCCTCCTCTTCCCCCTCTTCCCCCTCTTCCTCCCACTAACACTGCATGGCTGATTAATCTCCCAGGGTCTCCTGTAAAGAGCTTTAAGCAGCGCAGCTAATTGTCTTCTTTGTGTCTGACGTTCGCACAAAGCCCCGTGACGAAGAGTGGCTTGTTTGATTGGCAGGTGTTAAACACAGAGAGGCGAAGTGTTCATTAGGCGGCTCTGTTCTCAGCTGTTTTAACCGACAGAGGTCAAAGGTCACCCTCTGTTTTCCCCTCACCGGGTCACAAAGTCTCGAGCTAAAAAAGCCGAGCAATTATCTGCAACAAACAGAGACTGAATGGCTGCTAATGGCTGAGACGCTCAGTATGTAGTGTCTCTACTTTAAAGAGTCCTCTCCTGCTGATGTTCAGGTGTATATCAGTACGTAGTGTCTCTACTTTAAAGAGTCCTCTCCTGCTGATGTTCAGGTGTATATCAGTATGTAGTGTCTCTACTTTAAAGAGTCCTCTCCTGCTGATGTTCAGGTGTATATCAGTATGTAGTGTCTCTACTTTAAAGAGTCCTCTCCTGCTGATGTTCAGGTGTATATCAGTATGTAGTGTCTCTACTTTAAAGAGTCCTCTCCTACTGATGTTCAGGTGTATATCAGTATGTAGTGTCTCTACTTTAAAGAGTCCTCTCTTGCTGATGTTCAGGTGTATATCAGTATGTAGTGTCTCTACTTTAAAGAGTCCTCTCCTGCTGATGTTCAGGTGTATATCAGTATGTAGTGTCTCTACTTTAAAGAGTCCTCTCCTGCTGATGTTCAGGTGTATATCAGTATGTAGTGTCTCTACTTTAAAGAGTCCTCTCCTGCTGATGTGATGTTCAGGTGTATATCAGTATGTAGTGTCTCTACTTTAAAGAGTCCTCTCCTGCTGATGTTCAGGTGTATATCAGTATGTAGTGTCTCTACTTTAAAGAGTCCTCTCCTGCTGATGTTCAGGTGTATATCAGTATGTAGTGTCTCTACTTTAAAGAGTCCTCTCCTGCTGATGTTCAGGTGTATATCAGTATGTAGTGTCTCTACTTTAAAGAGTCCTCTCCTGCTGATGTTCAGGTGTATATCAGTATGTAGTGTCTCTACTTTAAAGAGTCCTCTCCTGCTGATGTTCAGGTGTATATCAGTATGTAGTGTCTCTACTTTAATGACTGTTTAATAATATATATATATCATGTATTCTCTTCCAGGACACATGGACTCAAAGAGGAAGAAACTGTGGCTAAAGGAGGCGGAGTCTAAAAAGAAAAGAGCTCCTCGACACTTCCCTCGGTTCAATGGATTCGGTACTTTCTATTAATCATATACTGATTTCAACGAAACGTGGCATTAGCTCACCATTGAAATGCATCAAAGTCCATTGAACCCTCTGTATCCCCCCTCATGTGTATCAGCTGCAGTGCAGAGGATCACTCGCTGCCCAAAATACTTGTTAGTAGCTAAGGCTTTGTTGTTTTGTACGGCTGAGCTCTGTGGATTCAGCTTTTTAATTCATCTCCTATGATTGGACGTTTCCGATTTTTTTGTAGCATAATGTTGTGTTGAAAAGAGTTCAGGTGGAGAGAGAGAGTTTCCGGAGAGGATGAGTGAAGGTCAAGATCTTTAGTGCATCCTTTTTAAACACAGTGCTGCAGATAGCTGTAACTAAAGTGGACCAAAATGTCCATGTTCATCCCTCTAAAAAAAGACCTCCAATTTCGCCTTAATTTCAAGCCGATAAAAGCTGATTTTAAATTTTAGGTCATTTAGGTGTTGAGTTATATGTTCCTGACTATTGGGAAGTCAAATGTTCTATTTAGAGACTTCGTAAGGGCTTTTCTGTGTCGTTTTAAACCCAAATTGTTAAAAAGCGGGGCTTATTAGAAAGCATTTGGGACACTTAAAGGTGGGGTAGGTAAGTTTGAGAAACCAGCTCGAGTGCGCTAGAATTTGAAAATACATACCGGAACAAATCTGCCACTTCCTCACAGAGACCCTCCTCCAACACACACGAACGCGCACATGACCAATGAGGGCACGAGATAAGTTTGTGCCCAGATGGAAGGCTGACAGGCAGGTAGGCCATCCAGTTATTTTAGCCGGGCCGGCTCACATGATTGGTCGTGCTTTTTACAGTACTACAGCTTCCACAGATGATATTTTTTATGTTTTTATTGTCAAAGCACTTCAGATATTCATTGCTATCTGGATGTTAAGAGCTTTCCATGGAATATAACAAAGTGTTTCTGAAGTGAATTACCTACCCCACCTTTAAGCACACTTATACTAATATATGTCTTCAATGTTAGACGGATTAATTAGTCGTCACTGTTTCTGATGGTGAAAGGAAGCTTTTTGGTAATGTGTCTCAATCTGGTTTCTACGTCGTCAGAAATGTATGATTTGACACCAAGATCCTTCAAATAAGGCAAAAAAATACGTTTCCGTTTCCATTGTTGGCCAATCTTGGATTTCTGACGAGCTTTTTCAAAACCTCACAGGAGTTCAGGGGCCAATTTCAATCCTTGTGTCCACTTTTGAAAGACTTCCCTTCAGTTATCTGCAGCACTAATAGAGACAAGGAGGGAGAGGGATGTGAAAGCAAAGCAGAATGAAAGCCTCTTCGTCATTGCACAACAATAAAAGCATTGCTGTTCCAGTTTGTTTTTGCACATGTTCTGTTTACTCCATCAAGCGTAGAAAGTAACAATCGACGCTCTGGCAGCAGCATTATCAACTCCAGCTTTTATACCCTCTCCAAATGTGTTATTTTCCGTCTCTGTAGGACTCTTTGTTGATTCAGACACACGTTGACCTTGTAGGTGTTTTTGTAAAAGATTTCAATTTCAGGTTATTTGTCCGTGACCGCTCGTTGTCATGAAAACTGTAAGTGGAAATGTCCGAGAAATGTTTCTATGGACTCCTACCAATAAATGCTTAAAGAAAAACATGTCCATGTATTAGATTTTACTTTTTTAATCTGAAATGTTTCCAATATTCTCTTTCATTTTGGTCTCCACTAACACCTGAAGGACGTACCTAGCTAGTTGCTAACTTTCTGAACTAAAACACCAAAGTTGCTGAACATAACACGCTCAAACTACAAAGGTTTTTGATGATTTTCTGTGGATTTATACGGTGGCTGAAAGGTGCTAATACACAACAACGGCCCAAAACATTTCCTCAAGGAGAAACGTGCTGCAGCTTCAGAAAGGATGCAGATTGAAAAAGAGATCAATGATCTCAATGGGATACACCTGGATAAATAAAGGTTTGAAATGAAATGAAATGAAGATATTAAAACACAAATGTTCCACATGAAGAAACATCTTCATCAACTTCACAACACATGCAGCGTTTAGAGAACATTCAGCAACTTGAGGAGACATGGCAGCGTTTACTAAAAGCTGCAGAAACCAAACGCTGAAGAAGCTCAAAACACAACGGAGACCAGGGGACACTAAAGAGTGACGCACACAGCTGGGAGACCAGGGGACACTAAAGAGTGACGCACACAGCTGGGAGACCGGGGGACACTAAAGAGTGACGCACACAGCTGGGAGACCGGGGGACACTAAAGAGTGACGCACACAGCTGGGAGACCGGGGGACACTAAAGAGTGACGCACACAGCTGGGAGACCAGGGGACACTAAAGAGTGACGCACACAGCTAGAGACCAGGGGACACTCAAGAGTGACGCACACAGCTGGGAGACCAGGGGACACTAAAGAGTGACGCACACAGCTGGAGACCAGGGGACACTAAAGAGTGACGCACACAGCTGGGAGACCAGGGGACACTAAAGAGTGACGCACACAGCTAGAGACCAGGGGACACTCAAGAGTGACGCACACAGCTGGGAGACCAGGGGACACTAAAGAGTGACGCACACAGCTGGGAGACCAGGGGACACTAAAGAGTGACGCACACAGCTGGGAGACCAGGGGACACTAAAGAGTGATGCACACAGCCGGGAGACCGAAATTGTTCCTCTGCATTTGACCCTTCCTAGTGTTAGGAGCAGTGTGCTGCCGTGGACGGCGCCCGGGGAGCAGTGTAGGGAACGGTGCTTTGCTCAGGGACACCTCGGTAGCATTTGGGACTCGAACTGGTGACCTTCCAGTTGCCAAGCCAAGTCCCTATGGACTTCGCCACCAGCTGCAGCGTGTTCCTCCTGATGGAAATGTTCTGGGCATGTTAGCACCTGTCTTCCTCCGTAGATTTGTCACAATCGTCATCTTTCCACACAAAGCCATTGTTAATGAACTGAAAGTATGAATTAGAGCAGGTTTAATCTAATATCTGCTCTCCTGCATCACCACCCGGACCTCACAGTAATCCTCAAACCCCGCGAGCTCTTAATCAACTCGTATTCCTTCTTTGTTTTCGTTGCAAATTCACCTGCTGCTGCTGCTGCTCTTCTGTTGAACAGCAGCAGGGACAAAACACTATATCTTCCTCCCTCATATAGCAGAATATTTTTGAATGAGCCCGCAGTGTTTTGTATTATTCATGCGGCAGAACGAATGCACATGACCCAGCAGCTCATTTGGCTCTTGTTCCCATGCAGAAAAGTATTCTCTAAGGGTTTAATTAAACAGTGTCGAAGAAGGCAGTGGCCCATCTTCCCTCTATCACCTTGTTTTAACAACCCTCCTCTTCCTCCTGAAGTCATTACACAACTGTTTCCGACTGAAAATAAGTGTGAAATCCTCATATTGACTTTCAATTTGAGGACATGTACCTCCTGAAGAGCGTGTGGTAGTTTCCCAAACACCACATGGAGAGAAATGAGGTTAAATACAAACACATAGACATGATAATGCAACCATTCTAAAGGATAGGATCTGTAAAAGTAGGAAATAGTACAAATGTCTACATAAACATTGCAAAAAGCAGACATTAACTGACTGGGTAACCAAAACAAGTGTGCAGTCCTCCTTTCAATTTGAGGACATGTACCTCCTAGAGAGCGAGGAGCAAAAGGGTCATTTTTAGGTTAAATACAAACAGACAGGATAATTCAAAATGTCTAAAGGGTAGGATCTGTTAAAGTGCGTATTAACCCGAAAAATACTAATTAAAATTCTACATAATGAGCAATGTGTAAAAAGCAGCAATTATCCAGTTTCCCAGAACATCAAAAATGTGTTTTTGTGTTCAGAAAAACCCACATCAAATGCATGAAATGAACATTATAGGCTGTTTTTGAGGCGACTGTTTGATTATAGCGCACAGTTTGTCCCATTTGCATCAAGCATGTTTTATTCATTGTGTTCAAAGAGCAGAGAAGTGGTTTATTGTTCAACCTTTTTATTGTTATTCTAATAAAAACAGCAGCCGTTGAAACAGGAGGTCGTGACCGCAACAAATGCAAAGTGCGCTGGAAATTAATAAATGTAATTGCATTTATAGCCGCTTGTGATTGGATTAAATCAAACAAGCCCTGGAACTGGGTTTTCTCTTTCATTGGCAGCACCTAATTGGTTTGGTGCAGAAATTACCCATAAACCCCTTGTATATCAAACACTTGGCTGCGGAGAGAACTCAAAGCACTCAAAGACTTAAGATGGTCAGAGAATAAAATAAAGAAGTAGCTCGGGTCAAAGATAGGAACAAGGTTTTATTTAAACCGTTTTACAGAATGATTTGGATTGAAACGAGGACAGAAAAGAGACGTACAAAGCGAGACAAAAAGCCACCTGGGTGTGATTCATTTCGGAACAGCTGTCAGACGGATTTAGGTGCAGCGAAATTGGACTGAGATTTTTCCAAGAGTGCACTCAAGCAGATTAGGAGAGAAGAAACCTCCGAGCAAGTGTCCTTATAGTGAAGTGAAGGGTCGCTTTTATCCATTTTAAAGGTTCACTGTTCTTGTAGCTTTTTACGACATTAGTTAATATACCAAAGATATGTTATAATATAGTGATATAAGCCTTTAATATAACAAAAACAATAAAAGTATAGCATATTATATTAACATCCGTTATTATGCAATGAATAATAATTAAATTAATACAAATAGCACACCTTAAAAAGTCATTAACATGTCATTGTATGGTTTGCCTTGAAACGTAATAAGAAATGTCTTTGGTATAGAAATGTATTCCACAAAGAGACTGATATAGTACGCCATGTAGTATGGTATGTAAACATCATAAAAACATCGTAGGAAAGTATGCAAAAAGGTACAAAAAAAACACATTGTTAGAATGTTGAAAATAGTTTTTTAAACGACACGGTAAAGTATGTCGACATTTTCTAAAAAACAACATGGTATGGTATGTCGAAAAAATGTCGATATTATTTTATCCTTATGTCCGTAACTTACTTTTTAGATAAGGGTTTAAAAAAATAGTATCATTTTTAGATAAGTGTACGGAACCATCTGTGACGTAACGCAATGTGACGTAATGTAACGCAACGTTATGTAACGCAACGTTATGTAACGCAACGCAACGTTATGTAACGCAACTTAATGTAATGTAACGCAACGTAATGTAACGCAACGTAATGTAACGTAATGTAACGTAATGTGACGTAATGTAACGTAACGCAACGAAGTGTAACGTAATGTAACAGAACGTAATGTAACGTAATGTAGCGTAACGCAACGAAGTGTAATGTAACGAAGGGTAATGTAACGTAATGTAACGTAATGTAACGTAACGTAATGTAACGTAACGTAATGTAACGTAATATGACGCAACGACGAAATGTAACGTGAAAAAAATGTAACGAAACGTAA